GCGCGGCGCGCCTGCAGGGTGGGAAGAACTGCACCCTCATGCTGTGGGCGCGCGGCGTGCGGCGCGGGCAGCAGATCAGCGTCGGGGTCTACCCTGTGGGGGCCGACCCCTTGAGCAAGGCGGTCAAGCCGGCGCTGCCGCTGACGACCCTGACGCTCTCGCCCGAGCGCCACTGCCAGTTCACGCTGCCCGTTTTTGCGCCCCGGGCGTCGGGCGATTACGAGGTCGCAATCAAGGCCGATCTGACGGCGTGGAAGCCAAGGGTCGACATCGACGACGTCGAGGTTTACTGCCTGCCTTGAGAAATCAAGGGCAGGCTGTCTCGAAAGACTTGCAGGGCGCGGCATGCTCAGGCCGGCACTCTATTATCATTGCTACCAGGATTGGCTGCCACGCACCCGTGGTGTGTTGCTCAGGCGTTGACTGGCGCATCTGCAGTGCAGACTGATGGGCCCAAGGGGCGTGCCGCAGCAATGTTGCACTGCGAACGGCAAAACGGCACCCTCTTGTTGGGAGGACTCATCCCTTACAGACACATATTGACCGCAGCCGAAGTCCTCAGACATCGTGCAGTCCCCAATACCCCGCACTCGAGCTTGCACACAAGCTGAAACACATGAGCTTGCACACAAGCCCAAAACAACCCTACCTGCCCTTGCTCAACCTCTTCTTGTGGCCTGGAAAGGAATTCGGCACTGCATGCTTGTGATGGTCGAGTTATATGCACCAGGACGGCTGCGTTTTTTTGCAGTCGACAGGCTGACGTCATTACCTGGGCTGCTCTCAACTAGGTGTGAGCGGACCAGCAGCCAAAACCTGGCGCGCACTTTTGTTTCAGGGCATCGCGAGAAGCCCACTAGCAGTCTGCACTTGTTCGGTGCTGCACTCAAGCCACCCCTTGCAACAAGGGGGTGGCAGGAGGCCAGGTGACACGCATGCAAACGGACAGGCACCACCAAGTCAACACCTTCTCCCTCAAAACCTAGCTGAGTGCGAGCCTGCGCGAAGGCGTTGACGCTCAGCAACATACATAACCGCCTGGTCGCCCCTTGTTTCTGTTTCTGCTGCGCTCCTCGCCGTCGTTTGTGGCCGACGCGCACTGCACGCTGTCACCAAGTTCTACTGTTGGATTTCGGCGGCGGGGCCGGCCCTCAGGCGGGGCCCGACAAGGGGTTGTTGCCTGCGCAAGGCTGCAGGGGCGCATTGGGAGTCTGGGGCACCCTGCCCGCAGTCCCCTCGCTGCCCTGCGATGGGTGCCCCCCCTCCCCCCCCCCTGCACAGGGGCTGCTAGTAGCGCTGCAGTGCCTGCGAATTCCCTTTTTTGTGCTCGTCGCGCCGACCAATGCCACGACGGTCACTTGCAGTCAAAGCCGGATCACGCGCTGTGGGCGCAGCACCAATCAACAGGGGGCGCGCCGCTGCAGCCACATTTGCGCCGGCTGCCCCCGTGCCTTGGTATGTTGTGCTTGCAAGCACGCTGATCCCAGGTAACGGATGTGGCGCCGTGTCTTCCTTCGCCTGTGTTGCTTAGGTTCAATCACGCTTGCTTACACAGACGAGGAATGTAAAAGCATCCTGCACCCTACAGCGACCCCAGCTCCAGGATTGAAACAGCTACGCAGCAAGATCAAGGTCAAGAGGCGCCGCGGCGCAACCCGCGCCCGAAAAGCGATGGTCGCGCACGGCTCGTGAACGCAGCTGCTAGGATGAGGAGCGGCGCGAGAGGCAGCATCATTCAGGATTGGAAAAACATTCAGGCGCCCGAACACCTCAACAAGACCTGCATGAGCTTTGCCGTCCATGCGACCTCTCCCACAGCCCTGAACCCAGAACAGGAATCAGCCCAGGACGACTCCCCGCGGATACGCGAGGGCACCGCAGAAAGAGGCACTCGTTACGTAGCTAAGGGTGGCTTGGGCAAATTTCAGCTGCCAAACAGGCGGCCTTGCCCTTAAAGGGACAGACCCGTCCTTGGCCAGGGCGCCCGCCGCCGCGGCCGGACGGGGCCCCGCCGCCGCCGCCCGCCGTCACGCGCCAATGGTGCTGCTGCTCGCCCCGCTGCTGCTCGGCCGCGCGTCCTCGTGCCCCGCCGCCCCTGCCGCGGAGCGGCGCCGCTGGTCGGCCAGGCAGGCGGCCTTGTGGCCGAGCAGCTTCCAGTGCTGCTTGCAGCACGCGTCGGAGCAGTAGACAACCTGGGGGTTCCTGCAGCCCGCGCAGCGCCGCAGCTTGACGCCGGCGGCCTTGCCCTTGCCGCACACCACGCACGCCTTGGCGGGCGCCGCGCCCTGCCCCTGGTCGGACCCCCGCC